AAGCTGGCTACTACCCCAGGGCACTAGTCCTACCTGTTGGGAGAGTCAGGAAGTCTACAGGGCCTGTTGAGGAGGGTGCCGAGGGCAGTGTAGTCCTGTGTAGATCACTCATGAGCAACCGTTGGGCTTGAGGGAGGGGAAGGACTCTGGTAGAAGCAACGACCTGGTCTGGAGGGCTTCAGCTGGTGTGGTCCTAGACGTTACAGGGAATGAAGTGAGGAGGGTGACCTGAGAGCTGTACTTTTCTGCAGGCAGCAGATGAAGAAATCCAGACTGAGGAAGGAACGGCATCTCAGTCACCCGTATTCAGGGGTCCAGGATGGGTAGCATTTTTGTGTCTTTGAAAGGTATGGGAGAAAGGTGTTTGAAATCCATGGTCTCTGGTGGCATTGTATTTTCAGCAGTGACCACAGCTGGGGAGCAGTGGCCTGTGGATGACTGGGAGAGGCAAGGGTGGCCTCAGTGTTGAGGAGCAAGGGGTGTCTATACCAACTGGGCTGCTGACCTGTGTAGTAGTGTCTCAGTCTGTCGCCATGCTCAGCAACAGGGAGGCTGAAGCCTCAGTCCTTAGACAGTAGGAGGTAAGAGATCCCTAGTGTCCTGCCAGTGATTTGGTAGCTATTGTAGCTATTAAGAGACAGAATGTGGGGCCTACAGTTCACAGTTGCCTTCTGAGATGATGACACAGCTCCTAAGTTCTAACAAGGACTGTGTGGGTTAGGCAGCTCTTTGATGTTCCACTAGGAAAAGGCCACTAGGTGGGCTGGGGAAGCCGAGGCTTTGGAGTTAGAGATTTATGTTGTGTCTGGAGGGGAGTATCTTGGAGAACTGAGACCAGCAGGACAAGGTGATAAAGGGCTTTCCCATGTTTGGTGCAGAGTAGACAGTCAGTGAATTGCTGGATTGCTTATGTTACTGAGGCCGAGCCTGTTATCCTTTAGAGCAGTGGTTCTCAACCTGTGGGTTGTGACCCCCAGGGTTGTCAAATACCCTTTCACAGGGGTTACCTAATACCATCAGAAAATACATTTACATTACATTTCATAACAGTATCAAAATTAGTTATGGATTAGCATCAAAAATAATTTTTATGGTTTGGGGTCACTACAACATGAGGAGTTGTCTTAAGGGAGGTTGGGAACCACTGCTTTAGAAGGTAGAGGTGAGATTTAAGAGATGGAGGAAGCTGGAGGCCCCTGAGAACATTGTGGGTAGAGGCCATAGTGTTTGGGCTGTGGGAATGATCATGGCTTGACCGGATGGATAAAGGGGATGAGCACAGGAAGGTGTGTGCTGCCTTTGTTGAGTTCTGGGCATCTCTGGGAGGGACTCAGCAGGACCCTGTGGAAGTGGTGCTGGCACTGGGCAGCTGTGGCCTGTGGCCAGGGACGTGGTCTCAGGAGGCAGTGGGGTATTTTGAAGGAGGGCACTTATGCTCTGGCTGACCTGATTTCTTGAAGCTTTGGGGCTTGGTCTGCTTGGGGACATGGATGCTGGGCAGGAAGCCCTAGACCCCCACCCCAATTTACTGTGGAGGGCTGAGCAAGAAGGCAAGTGTCTATTGTTCTGTGCCTCCCTCGGCTCCCCTTCTCCTCCCTCCCAGCTGAGCCAGCACTTTCTCTTCACTCCTTTATCTGTGGCAAGTACAGGGCGTTCGGTTTCTCCTGTGCATACAGATCAAGGCAAGAAAGGGACAGACATGCACTGAGGACCAATTAAACAGTTCTTCCCCAATAACACAGTCTCGGACAGTCTCTTTCTCTCTCTCAAAATAAAAACAAAACAACAACCCCTCCCCAACAAATCCCAGAGGGGGAAAAATGGTAAAAACTAGCAGGAAACAACACAACAGCAGCAGCCAATGCCCGTTGAACCTGATGTAGCAGGCTTTCTGGATAAGTCTCCTTTTTTTTAGTTTACCTCAGTGGATGGACGCAGGGTGATAAGGGGGCCATGGTAGATGACATTCTTCTGCCTTTCATGGCTCTTTCTCTGTCTTTCTCTGGCTCTGTTTCTCTCTGTCTCTGCCTCTCTCTCTCTCTCTTTCTCTCTAGTGTCTCTGGCTTCTTGTGGGCAACAAGGGTGGTTGGAGCTGGCTTGGGGCAAGGCTTATGGAAGACCAGGAGTGTGGGCTTAGCTGTGAAGGTCAGTGGTGCAGGAGACCCACATGGGCCCTGCTTTCCCAGCTGCTTCCATATGATGTCCATGTTCAAGGTCTCTGAGATTTGGTGCTGGGGGCAATCATCTTTAAGGTGGCCTGTGGTCCATTCCAGAATCCTTTCATAAGGTCCTTCATGTGTGAGGTCCTCAAATGCTGACAGTCTTGTGACAGCCTTATTTGACTGTCACAGCAGTATAGTGAGGACCAACCAGCCAAGCCTAGGGGAAGAAAGGTCAGCTGGACTTCTCTGGATTTTAGAGAGGGTGCCTTAGGGATCCTGTAATAAGCAGGACACTCCCATTATTATTATTATACCATCATCATCATCATTATTTAGATAATATTTTTCCATATAGCCCAGAAGAGTTTGAACCTCATGACCTTCCTGCCTTAGCCTTCACAATAGTGGAATTACAGGTGTGTATGTGTGGCCTCGGTCAGTGTGGGAACTCCAGTTTAATCCCTGTTCTGCCTGCTCAACACAATGGTATTTCAAGATGTGGTTCCACCAGTAAGCTTTACCAGTGTTGCTGCCTTCCTACCCCTTTATTGCAAAAATTGAGTCTGTTGGGGTGCCCCTGAGGCAGGGGTGCCGTAAGGGGAATTCCCACTCTTGTTCCAGAGGATGGGTTGGGGCTCACAGCAGAGTCACATCTCACTCGATGCCTGAGCACCCTGGCGTCATTACAGCTGACGCAGGCCCTCCTGCAGAGCTTGTATATTTCCTGGCTTGTCACAGCATCTGCGGTGGCTGGCAGACTTCCGGTGGCATCGCTGCTGACCCTGCCAGCGCGTGCAATCCGCCACATCCTCACCTCTAAATTTAGTTCCCAGGAACCTGGGCAATAGCAAAAGGAAAAGGGGGGCGGAGAGAGAGTCCAACCAGCTCTGCTTGCTATGTTCCCTGGAGGGTGGGGACCAAGAAGGGGAAGAGGGCAGGAGAGGAGGAGGCAGGAAAGGCCTGCGCCCACCTAGTGGTGGCCTCCTCCGCTGGCAAAGCTAGGATTTCCCAGGAGGGAGTCTGGGCCTCGAGCGCCACCTGCCTGCAGTCTAGGACACTTGTTCTGTCCTGACTTGGCTGATTTGAGTCTGGGAGTGGGGTAGGAGGCATTTCTTTCTAGATCCAGGCATCATATGAAATAAGTTAGGGAGAAGTAGCCTCTTAGCCTGACCATATTTAGGAAAAACAAAACGAGACAAAACAAAACACAAGACACTTAATTTGCCAAACCTCCAAGTGTTAGAGAATACTTTGCTGAGAACAATGGTGTGTAAACTCCATTCAGATCAAGGTAGATCTGTTCCCCCCACTATAGGGAGCTCATGCTGGTCCTGTTTATTTACCTCCTCTCTCCCTTAATCTCTATCCTCAACAGATTATTTACTTGCCTGTCCCTGAAATTAATGTAAATGGAGCTGTACAGTGTGTGCTGCTGGGTGTCTGCCTTGGCTCAGGCTCAGGCTCAGGCTCGTGTCTTCTGGCCTCTGGCTCAGGCTCATGTCTGTTGAGAACACAGTAGCTTGGTTCTGTAGTTGCTGAGCATTGCATGGGATGAGGGCACTGCATAACTCAGGCATATGCTTGCATTGGCCGGCCTTTGGGTTGCTTCTGGATTTGGTCAGTGGGATAAAGCTATAAATTTCTTTGACACATCTATGTGGTAGGATGTGCCCTGCACCTCTGGTGGGTTTATAAAAGTGGATTACTGTGTCTGGGAAAGGTCATGGTTGCTTCATGGGTGTATGTGACAGGTTTTTATGTGCTTCTTGGTTGTGACCCAGTAGCTTTTATCCACCTATATTTATTTCCTTGCTGAGTCTTGGTGCTATTAAATTCTGCAGCATCTGCGACTCAAACCTTAGCCAAGACAACTGAACTCTTTAAGTTGTTTGAGTCAGGGACTGCAAGGGATGGGATATAAGCTGAGTATAGTGGTCCTCAGATACCTCCAAACTATCCTGCTCCTTCTGGGAATAGAGGATCAGTGTATTCCAGCCGTGGGCCACCTCCGGTCCCTACATTACCAGCTGCCCAAAGTCTGGCGTCTTTAAGTAAGCTGGCAGAGTATAACTGTCAATTTGATGTCTGGTCTCTGCTGTGGGTCATCACAAGTCACTGTTTCCTGGGTTCATTGCTGTTCTGTGGTGACTGAGGGGCTGGGTGGAGGGGAGAAGGACCTACCCAGAATAGCAAGGCTTGTTGGACACCAGCACTTTCTGGAGGAGTGGGGAAGTGAAGCCCTTGTCTTTCCCACCACATTGCCACCTCACCAAGACTCGGAAGGCCAACAGAAAGGCAAGGAGGAGAAAGGCATAAGGAGACAGAGAATACTAGGGAAGAAGAGCCAGGTGAGAGATGGGGACACAGCCCAGCGCTGTGTGTGCAAGTGTCCTGGGATGGTGTGAACATCATGGGGACTGTGCAGGTATCCTTCGTGTGTGAGTGTCCTGATATTGGTGTGAGCTGGGGGGATGGGGGGGCTGGCACAAAGAGCAGCCATGCTGAGTGGAACAAAACATCAGTGTCAGTCTCCTGACTTTGGTCTTTTTTGTCATCCCTTCTCAGGCCACCTCTTGTATCGCTTGGGGACCTGTGGACAGAGAATAGGTAGCGCTTAAGAGATTTGAGGGCGGGGTTGATGGATTCTACCTCTTGCCTGTTGGTAGGGCCTAAAGCACATCTCCCTGCCTGGCTCTCATCTCTCTTTGCCCCCTCCTTTCTTCCTTCTTGCATTTTTGGAGGTGTCTCTTCTTGAGCAGGGTTTTAGGGAAGGGGGTGCAGCTGTGACTGTCCCTTGGGTCATTTGAGCTAACCCCCACCCCTTCTCTCTTGTTGCAGGCTCCTAGAAGGTGAGTACGGACGGTATGCAAAGTTGTGAATCCAGTGTCGACAGTGCGGATGACCCTCTCAGTCGTGGCTTACGGAGAAGGGGACAGCCTCGTGTGGTGGTGATCGGTGCTGGCTTGGCTGGCCTGGCTGCAGCTAGAGCACTTCTCGAGCAGGGCTTCACAGATGTCACTGTGCTCGAGGCTTCCAGACACATTGGGGGCCGTGTGCAGAGCGTGAGACTTGGTAAGCATCACTCAGGCCTAGCTACCTCTCTAGGCCATATGTTGTCCCCCAGTACCCTGGTCCTGGCTAAAATCTTACTAATTTGGTCTTGGGATACATGCTTGATTATGCAACCTGTGTGGGTGTTTTCCTGAAGCTTCTTTTGCTCCTTGCCCTGACATTCCATTTTTGGAGAATGCTGACTTGGTACAAGACTTGGGGTTGATAGTGCTTGTTGGAGAAGACTTACCCAGAATCAAAGTAACTGAGAAGTGTGGGGACTCTTTTAACGTCACAGGAGAGGGGATTGTGTAAGTTCTGATTAGTCAGTAGTTTTTTGGTATGACTTAGAGTATCATGACTGAGGTCCAAGCAGCAGGAGCTAAGGTTGGTAGAGTGGAAGGGGGGTTAGGCGTCCTTGTGGTCAATGTGTGGTTTTGGGATTGTCTGTAAAAAAGAACCAGTTTACAAATAATGAGAACCCTGGAGAAAGCATTCAGAGAAGAAACATGCCTCTAGGGGAAGGAGACTTTGCCAGGGCTCTAGAGAGCAGGGGTATTTCCTGAAGTGGAGCTGGTAATCAGGGTTTCCACAGCCACAGCCGTGTGGGGTGTTTTGGCCAGTGGTGGGTTGAGTGGATTGGGACCATGATGATGACCCAGTGAGACCACATGTAGTGACATGGAGTATGTGAGTGACGTGGGCACTCTAGATCTCTCTCTCTCACACACACACACACACACTCTCTCTCTCTGTCTCTCTCTGTGTGTATGTGTGTGTTTAGATACTAGAGGTTGACGTTGGGTATCCTCTTCAATTACTGTCTATCTTATTATTATTTTTTTTCAAGATAGGGTCTCTGTTTTTCACTGAACCTGGAACTCAGTTTTTCTGCTAGGCTGGCTGGCTAGCGAGTCCCAAGGGTCCTCCCGTTTTTGCCAGTTACCGGTGTGCACTACTTTGCCTGGGTTTTTTGGCATGGATTTTGGGGGATCTGACTGAGGCCCTCATGTTTTTGTGACAAGGACTTTATCAACTGAGCTATCTCCCCAGCTTTCTCTTTGGTTTTGAGATAGGGTCTCATTCTGTAGGTTAGGTTGGCCTTGAAACTCCAATTCTCTGTCTCCTGAGGACTGCAGTAACAGGTGCGTGCCACCACAGTTGCACCTCTAGAGGATTTTGTTTGTCACACAGAGCCTGTGTGCTTACTTGCTTAGATTGGTGGTCAGGCTGAGAATCAACAGGCTTCAAGGACACCCCCTGGCCTTTTCTCTTCTTGTAGGGCTATTGAACACATCGAGAATCTTCCCCTGGAGCCATCCCTAGAAGGCACATATGAGGGTTTGTTTCCCCTTTAATGCACAAACTAGGTTGTCTCTTGGCAGTAAGAATGAAAGTGTCATTCAAGTGTTCCTGAAGCTGGGGTAGCCAGGGGGCCCCAGTGCTCGGCTCACTGTTGATTGGCTGGTTGACAGCCTCATTTACGATTCTGTGGGCATATTCAGTCTGATATGGAAACAGAAGATGAGGAGATAGGTGGGCCAGTCCTGGAGGCAGCTGACATCTGAGACCATGCAGGGAAGGCATGGGGTGGCAGAAGGCTAGCTGGGAAGGCTTGCTGGGTAGGGAAGAAAGGGACAGGTTGTGTGGAATGAGGAATGCGAAGGAGCGTGCTAGCCAGGGTGTCTGTGTGGTAGGCCGGTAGGCGGGCCCGAGAGTCAAGTGTGTAGATTGACATAGTGCAGCATGGCATGGTGGCCAGGAGAGGCTCTGAGGACACCACATGCTGTGGGGTGAGTAGGCATGGGGTGGTGCCTGGTGCCTTGGAAGTACAGGTGTGGCAGAGATGGAAAGGGAGGACACCCCCAGCTCGGCCTTATTCTGGCGTCTCAGCTCCTGGGAAACCTTCACCTGACCTCGCTCCCCGCTCTTCTCACATTTGAGGAACATCTAGAGACAGGAAAGTGTCTCCTTGCTTCTGACCTGCCCAGTTTCTGTGTGGCTTGGAACGCTCCTACTGTGCAGGGGCTGGGGGTTCAGTTCCTCCTCAAATTGCTGTTTCCCCCTTTACCTCTGGATACTGGCTAAGTCTCTGGAAAAGGGAGACTGTTGTGCTCAGTCATTTCCACTGCTGAGCCTACCAGACTCCCAACAGTAGCCCTGAACCCATGGTCACACAAGAGAGTCTTGGTTAGTCTCCGAGGGTCACAAAGCAAAGTGAATAGTCATGAATGTGAGGGAGGAGTTTGTGGGGAGGGGAGAGTGGTTGGTACTGCACTGTGTACGTGTGCAGGGTTGTCTAAAAGCACATTTAATTGACAGTAGTGATAACAATAGTATCACTGTTCTCCCTCTGCTCCTGAGCTAGCACATACACTTTGGGGGCTCCAAAGCCTGAGACTCTAGAGGTGCCCCCCAGTGGCCAACAGGCAGCTCCTGTAGGCAAAGCCTGGATTTTCTGTTTTTGGTGGCCTTCAGTCTGCCTCCTTTTCCTTCCTATACTGGGGGCCGGTTCATGCCTGCCACTTTAGAGACACTACACTGGTAGCCCGCTAGGTGCAGCATGAGGTTGTGCGTTTTTCTTGTTTTAGGCACATTCATGTTACCGGGCTATTTTTAGTAACTTATGGTTTAATTAGAAACATCCCAGGAAAGGGAAGGCATGCAAATAAGGAGCGTATGCTCAGTCTTTAGGGTGAGGGGCAGTGCTGCCATCTTTAGGCTATATCAGAACAAGCCACCTCAGATAAAACAGCTTACAATGTCTTTTTCTTTACTCACAATCTGTGGGTTGAAAGTGTGGGCAGGACTCAGGTAGATGGGCCTTTTTCTGGCTTTGCTTTGATTCCTGCATGTCCAGGGTCAGTTGGTTAGATCTCTAATGTGACCTCACCCTCCTTTGTGTAGGGGGTGTAGGCTTTGGTCTGGGCTTATGCTCCTAGCAAGGTGAGCCTATCTGCCCCCCCCCCCCAAGTTGTCACTTTTAGAGGTTGAGGGTAGAAGCCACGAGGCCCTCTGCTGGCTAATTTTATGTCAGCTTGACACAAGGTGGAGTCATTTTGGAAGAGGGAACCTCAATTTTGAAACTCCCCCACCCCACACCAAAATGACCTGTGGGCGAGCCTGTGGTGGTGCATCTTCCCGATTGATGATTGATGTGGTAGGGCCCAGTTCACTGTAGGTGATGCCACCCTGAACCGGTGGTCCTGGGTTCTATAAGAAAGCAGGCTGAGCAAGCGTGAGAAGTAAGCCAGTAAGCCGCACCCTTCCATGGCCTGTGTGTCAGCTCCTGTCTGCAGGTTCCTGCCCAGTGCTGACTTCCCTCAGTGATGGTCTGTGAGGTGGAACTGTAGGCTGAAACAGACCCTAACCCCTGCCAGGTTACTTTTGGCCATGGTGTTCTATGACCACAATAGAAAGGCTAAACCAAGACAGGCCCCTTGAGGCCTTGGCCATGAAGCTGTGATTGTTTTGTTTTTTTAAAGCTATATTCCGCTAGTCAGAGTATGCCACAAGTCTAATCCAAATTCAAGAGGTAGACCCTGCCTACTTCTGGGGGTGGGATTGAGAGGCATGCATAGTCAGTCATTTTATCAAGGGGTGTGTGCTTAAAGTCGGGAGAAATTATTATGAATTTGATAGGAAATTGACCATAGGGATCTTGAGCCTGGCCTGAGAGAACAAACACCACAAATTGTTTCTCTATGCCCTTTGCACCATGCTAACCTCTCAGGAAGCTAGGCATGGAAAGCAGCCTCGAAGCTTTGAGGTATCTGAAGAAGAACTGAGCTTAGGACAGAGGCAGCTTGCCTCAGATCTGCTGTTTTGGTTGGGGATGAGGAGGTGGGATGGATTCCTAGGCCTGTTACATCTTGGATGCAGGCTTCTCCTCAACCCTCCTCCACAGAATCTCAGGGTCTGCCCCCCTGAATTCCACTCCCATGTGAAAGGATTTTAGGGCTTATCATTCTCTGGAGATCTGGTTTGTATTCCTCAACCCTGGAGAAAATGTTGTAAATTGAAGTTGTCCTCTGAATTGGAGTGAAAAGTTCTGGAAGGGGGTTTCTTCTGTCTGAGAGAAGGACGTGGACTGTAGAGCCATGGGGTATGAAGGAGCTAGAATAATCCTGGAAGATACCCATACTATTCCTCTTGAGTGGGCGGGACTCAGGGCTCTGGCATGTAGTATTATCTTGGAAGAAGGTGGGACCAAGAGAAGCTTCTAACTGATGGCATGAGGTGATACTGGGACACATCTAAGAGTCACTCTGGGCAGTGCATCTCACTGCTGATCACCTGATCTGCTGTTAGGTAATAGCTATTTCTCAGAGTGAATGGACTCCTAAGCCCCTTCCTGTTCTGCTGAGTATTTGTGGGCAGGGGTCCTCTTAGGGGGGAAGGAAGGGAAGCAGTCCTATCCCTCTCTGAAGAAACCTGCCCCTCTAAGGGTCTGTTGTCACCACCAGGACACGCCACCTTTGAGCTGGGAGCCACCTGGATCCATGGATCCCATGGGAACCCTATCTACCATCTAGCAGAAGCTAATGGCCTTTTGGAAGAGACAACAGATGGGGAGCGCAGCGTGGGCCGCATCAGCTTCTACTCCAAGAATGGTGTGGCCTGCTACCTTACCAACCATGGCCGTCGGATCCCCAAGGACGTGGTTGAGGAATTCAGCGATTTATACAACGAGGTAAAGGGAATATTAGGACAGTTTGGGGATACAGCTAGGCAAGATAGTGATAGATTTTCTCAAAAAGGTCTTGAATGTCATTTCCTAGACTTTACTAAGTATTTGGGTTGTGACAATTGTCACTATGGTTTTTACAGACACTCAACATTTTTAAAAAGCATTTTCTAGTTGTTCCTGGTATATAGCAATAGAACTGATTTTTGTACATTGATCTCAATTCCCTGGTGATGATTATTTTAATTCAAATAACATGCTTATTAGTATAGTAATTAGAATATTTTTGGAATTATGTGTAACTAGCATTGTTCAGGAGAACTTTTTACACTGATGGAAATGTGTTAGACCTGCACTTTCCAGTGTGGTAGTTTCTAGCTACTTGTGGCTTTTGAGTAGTTGGAATGTAGCCAGTAAAACTATTCATGAATTAATATTAAATTCCAAATTGCTTCAGGTATCTAGTGGTTACTATATTGAGAGTCCGGCCTCAGATATTTATTATTCTTATTATGTGGGTTAGTATTGCCATCCGATATTAGATAGAAGTACCAATACTGTACATCATTGAAGCAGCCCAGCTTTAAAAAAGCATCGGTGTTGTTGGTATCTATAAATTGCCCTGAACAAATGAGGCCAAGTACAGTCTTATGTTCTTATTGTAATGTCATGACCCCATTCTAGATCAGCTCATGGGTCACTAAGCATTTACTGTGCACTTGCCAGTGTCTTGCTTTGTGGTGGTCCCTGGTCCACGGAGGATGTGCACTCTCTGGATTGTGTGCATGTGCCAACAAGTTATGTGAGTGCATCTCCGTAGTTTATTTCTACTCACATACAAAGTGTAGACTTACTATGGTCAGATAGTAACCTGTGTTCTTCAAGGTAGCCTTTGCTGGCCTACACACTGACCCTTGGCTATTCTAAGTGCTTTAAGCTTGAGTACTTATTTATGTATGTATGTATTTATTTTTATTTTAGATAGATCTCATACAGCTCAGCTAGGCCTTCAACTTGCTATGTACCCAAGGCTGGCCTTAGAGTCCTGATTCTTTTTCTTCTACCCTTCAAGTCCTGGGGTTGTAGATGTGTGCTACCATGCCTGGCTCTGTGGATCCTCTGAGAATGCTTCCCAGTGGTCCTGACTTGTTCTACTTCCTGTTGGTCAGTTTCATTTCTGAAAGCCAAGAATGGGGGCTGTGGAAGTAAAATGGATAAGGTGGTTATCAAACTGAAGGAAGAGGGATAGGTTAGGATTTCCTTTTGTGGCTTTTAGTCAATGTGGTTGATCTTTCTGAACAAACCTTGTGAAACTTTTTAAGAGAGAGAGAGAGAGAGAGAGAGAGAGAGAGAGAGAGAGAGAGAGAGAGAGAGAGAGTGTGTGTGTGTAGGCCAGAGGTCAACATTGTAGGATGTCTTCCTCTAGTGTGTGTGTGTGTGTGTGTGTGTGTGTGTGTAGGCCAGAGGTCAACATTGTAGGATGTCTTCCTCTATTGCTCTCTACCTTACATTTCGACACAGTTTCTCAGTGAACTTGAAGCTCACTGTTTCAGCTGGAACAGCTGGCAGGCGAACCCTCAGGAAATACCTCCTGACTCTAACCTCTGAGGGCTAGGTTTGCAGTTGCATGCTGGGGGTTTGAAACTCAGTTCCTCATGCTGCATACGTACTTTACTCCCTAGCCCTGTTGTTTTTTGTTTTTGTTTTCTCTCTCAGTGCTGGGGATTGAGCCCAGAGTCTTGTCTGTGATAGGCAAGTACTGTTCCCCTGAGCTATATCCCCAGCCTTACATGTAGAGTATTGAGCTCCTAAGTTATAGGGCCTCTCTGACCCCCATTTTTCCCATCTGTAAAATGTACATGATTTACATACTTCCCAATGTTACAGGGATTGTAATCCCAATGAAAAGTGCTTAAGAAGAATTGGTGTAGTGGTCACAGGCCTGTACCCCACACCTTCCTTTCATGTGTGGAAGGGTTGTAAGGATTCAGGCATTACGCTGGCCTGCCCCTATCACCTGGCAGAATGCACTCAGGCGGTACCCTGGTCAGCCCAGGGTTCCAGGAGTACTAGTCTGCAGGCAGGTGCAAAGGACCCCTTTGAAAGAAAGCTCTCACCCCCTTACCAGCTCTTTCCCTCTCTCTTTCCTGCTGTTCCCCTGGGACAGACAGGACTTTTCTGTCTCCCTCCTCTTCCGTCCTCACCGTCTCTGTGTCTCTTTACCTCTTTTCTCTTTCCTCCCTTCCTATGAAACTTCTCACTAAACTGTCTGCCTGGCATGTTTGTCCCCCACCTCAGTCATCCTCTTCTGCCTTGGAATCCACCAAGGTTCCCCTCAAGCTTTATCATAACAAGGGTACTGTACCCACATAATAGACCTATATCCTAGTTGGTGATGGCTACATTTGTTACTCTCGGCTGGACTTTATGGTCTCTAGTGACCATGAGCTGAATATTAGTTACCATGTTGCGTATCTTTTAGGGAAAAGCTGAGGGAGGAGAGGGGAGTCCCCAGTTGGAGTTCTTGGCAGTGATCCCACAGGAGGGATTTACTGAGGCTCTCCAGCTACTGCTGGCCACTCGGTGTCATGCAATTGTAGGCAGGACAAGTGAACAGTTTCATGCAATTCTTCTCTAATTTATGCTGCAGAGGCATCGTTATGCGCTGTCTTGTGTGCAGGCTTTCTCCTGTGGAACAGGGGTGGTTGGAGGGTACACTGCCACCCCTCCGCTCTGGTCCCACAGCTTATGCTGTGACTGCAGTGCAGAGCACACTTCTTTCCCAGAGTGCATTCTGGCCAAGTCCAGTCTGGCCACAGGGGTCACAGCTGGGAAGCCCACATTTGCTGTAACCTCAGAAATGAGAGCAGTGGGTGGGGACCCTGCTGCCCTCCTCACAGCCCTTCAGGAATCCAGGGCCTTGGCACAGTGTCTAGGCTTTTCTGCCTTGGCGCCTGCCTCGCTTTCCAGGGCCATTTATTTCTTACAGTGTTCTCTTTGTGCCTTTTCACCAAGCTAACCTATTTCAGGCTTCTTGACAGCTTCACCCTCCACTTTTGACTGGGTAGTTCCCCCTGCTGGTAGCACCCTCATCTCCTCCTCGCCAGTGTGGTGTCTCCTAAGGAGTCAGGGTTGCTGGGTTGACCTTACTACTCCTGAGTTCTTTGCTATCACAGTGTCGTGTAGAAATCCTCTTAGAATGTCTCATCAGCTTGAGTATGGGCAGGGCTGGGGCCTTTGTTTTGCCTAATACATTGGGAGTGGAGCCCACAAATGCATGTTGAATGAGCGTTAAGGCTTGTTTAGGAGTAGATTTGTTCATGGTTTGTGGTGGCGGGGTAGTGTGTGTGGAAGGATGATGAAGCAGGCTGTCAGAGAAGGTAGAAGGACCCTGTTTCAAGGATTGATGGTCACTGTTGGTGTTTTGGCTGGAAAATGTCTGCCAGGTGGATCCTGTTTCTTGGCCTTCTGGGGCCTCCCAGAGATGCTCCCTTCTGTGTGTTCTTCCTGCTTCCTTCTGTGTAGTTTGGACCAAATGAAGGGGCTCTTACAGATCTGAGTAGTGCAAGGAGAATGTCTACGGGGGTGAGCTTCCTACAGTTGGTTCTTGGAAATGGTGATTGTGTGCAGACCAAATTCTCCAGGGGAATATGGGGCCCTTGTAGATGTGCTCAGAGTCCATGAAGAGGCAGCTCCTTCCCCAGACTCTGCAGGTCCCAGATGTTCGTGGTTTGTTCTAAGAACGGTCCCTAAGAAAGCTGTAGGTCCATTGCACCTCTCTTACAGGCTCGGAGCTGAGGAGCTGGCTGACTAGGACAGGTGCCCTGCTGAGTTTCATTCAGAAGCCACCAGGGACACCCGGGAGCAGGTGGCTTTCTAGGTGGGCCCTGCTTGTTGTGGAGGGTGATAAGAGTGTTCAGTCCAGGGATCTCTCTGGCAGGTCTATAACTTGACCCAGGAGTTCTTCCGGCATGGTAAACCAGTCAACGCTGAAAGTCAGAACAGCGTCGGGGTGTTCACCCGGGAGAAGGTGCGCAGTCGCATCAGGGATGACCCTGACGACACAGAGGCCACCAAGCGCCTGAAGCTCGCCATGATCCAGCAGTATCTGAAGGTATCTTTGCTGTGGAGTGTAGATGTCAGAGTGAAAAAGACCAGTTCTGGGGAAGTCTGGGTCCAAAGGGCTGTGCTGCTCAGAACTCTTGTTCCTTTTCTGGCCTAGCCCTGGCTGTCACCTGGCTTCTCTCTGGGTCTTCCCACAGGTGGAGAGCTGTGAGAGCAGTTCTCACAGCATAGATGAGGTGTCCCTGAGCGCCTTCGGAGAATGGACGGAGATCCCTGGCGCCCATCACATCATCCCCTCAGGCTTCATGCGAGTTGTGGAGCTGCTGGCTGAGGGCATTCCCCCACATGTCATCCAGCTGGGGAAAGCCGTCCGTTGTATCCACTGGGACCAGGCCTCAGCTCGCCCCCGGGGTCCTGAGATCGAACCCTGTGGTGAGGGTGACCACAATCACAACACTGGGGAGGGTGGCCAGAGTGGAGAGAGCCCCCAGCAGGGAAGGAGGGACGAGGATGAGCAGTGGCCGGTAGTTGTGGAGTGCGAGGATTGTGAAGTGATCCCTGCAGACCATGTGATTGTGACCGTTTCGCTGGGCGTGCTCAAGAGGCAGTACACCAGTTTCTTTAGGCCATGCTTGCCCACAGAGAAGGTGGCTGCCATTCACCGCCTGGGCATTGGCACCACCGACAAGATCTTCCTTGAATTCGAGGAGCCCTTTTGGGGCCCTGAATGCAACAGCCTGCAGTTTGTGTGGGAGGATGAGGCAGAGAGCTGTACCCTCACTTACCCACCTGAGCTCTGGTACCGCAAGATCTGTGGCTTCGATGTCCTGTACCCACCAGAGCGCTACGGCCACGTGCTGAGTGGCTGGATTTGTGGGGAGGAGGCTCTCGTCATGGAGAGGTATGATGATGAGGCCGTGGCTGAGGTCTGCACAGAGATGCTGCGACAGTTCACAGGTAAGCCCTGTGTCCCTGCTGCTCCCTGGGGCCTGGCTGCTTTCTCAGCTACGAGGTCCGTGGCAGTTCCACCTTCCCTGGATTGTGGCACTGAGGTGGCTGTCCTATGGGGGAGCCACTGCAGGGAACCATGGTTAGCCTCTGTCACCTCAGTTACTGACACTCCCATTTTGGAGTTTGAATGACTCAAAATGATGGCTCTTTGCACTAAGGACTTCATGGTAAAGAGGACTCCTGTCACCATCACCATGAGCTGGCCGTTTCCAGTTGTATAGCATCTTGTTCAGAGGTAGATTAGTTTTACTCTGATAGAGTAAGTTTAAGTTTTTTTCTTAATTTTTGAGACAGGGTTTTATTGTCTAGCCCAGGCTGGCCTGGAACTCACTGGGCTGCAGCTAACTGGGCTTTGAATTCAAGATCCTCCTGCCTTGGCTTCCTGAGTGCTAGGACTACAGGCATATGCTGTTATACTCAGTGTCTTTGATTCTTTTACTTGGTTATTTTCTGCCCACTCCTGCAGAACTTCCCAGGAGCCCGTGACATTAGGAAGGGATACATGATTATCTGAAATTGTTTTAAATGCTGCTGGGGGATCAACCCTAGGGCCTCATGAGTGCTAACCATGAGATCTACTACTGAGGCACCTCCCCACCTCTGATAATACTTTAGAGTAGGAAAATCAAGGCCTTGAGATAAGTAATGCTTGTTTTCTGGGGTCACCAGGAAGTGATGAGTTGGAATGTAGCTTGAGCCCAGCCCCCCTTACTTCTCCCAGTCTTTTATGACTACCTCCTGGCTGCCGGAATGTTTTCTTGGGGTGCCTTCCATATGTAGCCATTTCTCATGCTCCCTTGTCTTGGTTCTTCTAACTTCCTAACAGGAAACCCCAATATACCAAAACCTCGGCGAATCCTGCGCTCAGCCTGGGGCAGCAACCCATACTTCCGAGGTTCCTATTCATACACACAGGTGGGCTCCAGTGGGGCAGATGTGGAGAAGCTGGCCAAGCCTCTACCCTACACAGAGAGCTCCAAAACAGCGGTGAGTGGGCTGTGAATGGTGAGGACAGGCCTCCTTGGAGAGGGTATTTGGCATGTATCTGGTCCAGGGGAGGAGGCTTGGGGTAATGTTCACAAAGGGCGCCATGGTGAAGAGCAATGGGGTGGCTCCCATAGTGAAAGAGAAAACAAGACAACAGACACTTAACATCTGGAAGAAAAAAGTAGAACCACATAGAATAATATTTTCTGGAGCTTCTGGAGCATGAATCATTGCTTGCTGTGCTGGACAGTAAGCCTCCAGGCACAGTTAGATTAATCAATTAAATAGAATTTGAATTAATAAATTCAAGTTTTAGTTCATTGGTTGTACTACTTACATTTCAAGTTCAACAGCCTCGCGTGCCTAATGGTCCCCACATTGGGTTATGCACGTACAAGTGGTCTGTTGGAACAGCAGTGCAATTATTTCCTCTTATGTTTTAGAGAACAAAATTGGGGTTGTAGCTCAACTGGTAGGGTACTTGCCTGGCATGGCTGAAGCCCTGGGTTTGATCCCCAGCACCTCAAGCCCGGTGTAGTGGTGCATACCCGTAATTCTATAGCACTGGCGAGGGAGAGTGGGGAGGGGAGGATGAGAAGCTTGAAGTTATCCTTGGCTACATAGTTCCAGGCAAGCCTTAGATTCATAGGCCCTGTCTTAAAGCAAAGTAAAACTTGAAGATATGGCTCTCTCCCAGATTAGGCCAATTGTACTCTAAGAAGATAATTAATCTGAGGCAGCAAGATGGCTTGGGTAAGGGCGTATACTGCCAAGCCGAATGGCTGACTGGAGTTCAATCTCCAGAGCTCACAGAAAAGTTAGAGAAGTTGGGCAGTGATGGTGCACACCTTTAGTCCCAGCACTTGGGAGGCAAAAGCAGGTGGATCTCAGTGAGTCTGAGGCCAGCCTGGTCTACAGAGCAAGTTCAAGGACAGCTAGGGCTGTCTCAAAAAAAAAAAAAAAAAAAAAAAGTTAGAGGAGAGAATGGATTCCTGCAGGTTGTCCTGATTTCTATTCTTAACATGATGGCTTGCTCCTGCAAACATGCACACACAATGCTTAAAACTGAGAGAAGCATGCTCCTAATAGTAAACATTGTCTAGTCAGTGTGAATATACATTAAATGTCAAAATGCAACAGTTATATTTAAAGCAATTCTTTGGAGTCACTGATGAAGGAGATTCTGTCAACTAAGGTATGTGTCTAGCTGTGTTCAGAGGGGGCCTCTTCCTACAAAGGAGACCCATGGTTGTGACAGAAGCAAAACAAAACAAATAATCAACAATGATCTGAAGGATAATGGGAGGACCAGATATCAGTAACACCTGGCTTCCATGTTCATGTACAAGAGGGCAGCAAGGCCAATGGCTCTTATGTCTTCAACCGATAGCGGGAAGGGAAGTACGTGGAGCAGAAAGGGGGTTCCTTGGAGCTGAGACAGCAGTATACCAGAAGCTGACTGGCTAGAATTTAGTCACATGATTACACGTTGCTGACAGATTGACTCTGGAACCAGTTAAGACCTAGGCCTTGAGCAGGGAGTGGTGATGCACACCTTTAATCCCAGCACTCAGGAGGTGGAGGCAGGTGGATATCTGTGTGTTCCAGACCAGTCTGGTCTACATATTTTGAGGCCCTGACTCCTAACAAACAGACACAGAGCCAGGGCTTAGCTAAGGAGGAGAGAGAAGAGTGGGTGGGTGTGGGAGTGGGCAGCTTGAGCTTGGCCACCACCTACCCCTCTTTCTGTTTCACAACCTCCCCGAGCTCCTTATTGGTGGTTGCAGCTCACCCGGGAGCTTGTTAGGAATGCGTGCTCTTAGTCTACACTTGCTGGATCCAACACAGCATTCTTAGAGAAAGTCCACACTTTCTCTAAGTTTGGTGTGCAAAAAGCTGAACCGTCCTTGGACTCACCGGGACACCTGCTTTCCTGAGATTGAGCCTTGGCTAAACCAGGGGCCTCACGGTCTTCAGTGTGTGATTTTCCCTCTGCTTGAACTCCTTTTTCGTGTTTAGGCACCAGGCATCCTTCAAGAAGCAGAGCAAAGGTCCTGTTCCCTCCCCCCCGCCAGGAAGCTTTGTGGGGTCTCCCAGACATTGGACCTCTTTTCTGGGCTTTCCGCACCTTCCCCAAACACCCAGCATCTCATAGGACACTGTTTAGTAACTGGGTTTCGTGTCTGTCCCCCACCAGCACGGAAGTGCCTCTAAGCGGCAGCCTGCTCACCTTTTATCACCCTCACCCGAGTGCCCAGAACAGGTCCGGGACCCTACGAGGGGCCCCGTAAAGGTTTGTTAAATTACCACCTGTTGTTTACACTCTTCCAGCTCCTAAGTGCTTCCACGTACAGTTTCATGTAATCTTTACAGCCGGCCTCAGAAGCAGGTGCTACAAATCCATTTGTCTGATAAGAAAATAAAGGCTTAGGAGGGCTAGATGATCATTAAGAGGTGAATGGAGCCTTTGGGGCTGCTCGGCCAGGACTTCTCACAGCCTTGGGACAGATGGAACTGAGGCGTGGGTGTGTGGGGACAGAACGGGAAGGTGCCAGGCGGCTGGGTGACTCTCCATCCTGTGCCCTGCTCACTTGTGTCTGCCTTGTAGGAAGATGGGTTGGGGCAGACAGGGAGCCTGAGCGCCTGCTGCTTTCCGGCTCTCATGTCCTCACTTGTATTTCTCCCACAGCCCATGCAGGTGCTGTTCTCCGGGGAGGCCACGCACCGCAAGTACTACTCCACTACCCATGGTGCTCTGCTCTCTGGCCAGCGCGAGGCTGCTCGGCTCATCGAGATGTACCGAGACCTCTTCCAGCAGGGGCCCTGAGGGTGTTCTCACTGCCATATGTGTTCCTTAAAGAACCACTAACTCGTGACTGCTGTCCCTTCCCTTGCCCATGTACTCGTAATTTCCTAATTGTCTGTAGAATGGAATTTTATCTTTTGTAGCAGACACTGGGCGGGCTTCAGACCTGGCCCTATTATAGCTTTTCTTTTTCTCCCGGCTGGGTAATGACTAGGTGGGATTTGGCTTCCTGCTTCCCCCTCCTCCATGTTATTGCAAGTGCCTTCAATACTTTGCATTTTGGGATAATAAAAGAAGTGACCCTTCCCGTGCTCGCAGCTACTCTCCTCAGTTCATAGCCTCTGCGTGTGCGTTTGTCTAATCGCATCTCTGACTAGGGCTTGGTGCCAGGTTTGTGACTGTGCTCCTTAAAGGGAAGGTCTGTTGAGGAGTTGTCCCTTTACCCCTTCTCTTCCTGCCTGTTCGGGGAGCTCTCCCTGCCCAGTGTCCACTCCCTTAGGACGGGCCTGGTTCCCACCACTTGTTCTTCTTGAAGCTTGGTTGGATGACAGGTTGTGTTGAATGAAGGTAAATTCTGTGGAGGGTTACCCCAGCTGTGGCTCATGCCAGGGTCTGATGAGTTCACTGCAGGTCATAGGGCAGGGAATCTGATTCAGGCGTGAAACTAAAGTATGTGTTGGATGTTGGATGTCTTACGTAACAGACACAGTGTAAGGCCGGCTGCCCACCTTTACTCTCCATGAACTTGTGTTGGGAGATGCTGACTAGCTTTCCTGGTCCCTGGACTTCTCCACCAGCTGCAGTGGGATAGACAAAGGCAGCTACAAGACATAAAGTAGGAGGGAGGTAATTAATTACCAGGTGTTGGGCTTGTAAAGTACTCCATGGGGGTAAGGAAGCTCAAAATGTTTATAAAAATGTTTATTTGGTGACTGCATGTTGGTGACCTTAAGGGTGTGAGAGAGAGAGGGGGGAGAGGGAGAGAGAGAGAGAGAAAGAGAGAGAACTCAGCACTAGCTCCAATCATATGCTGGCCATGTATCAATCATAAATGCTAGGCACACCCACCACTTTGTTTTTTAAACATTTATGTGTGTGGATATCTCATCTATATGTATGCATGTGCTGCTACACCAAAATAATCTGCAGCCATTGCTGTAGATAGAGGACATAGGTACAGCCATACCCGAAGTCTGTATGGCTGCATTTCACTCCTGGTTTCTACCCAAGAGAAATGAAAGTGCCCACTGAAGTGATAAATTCATAATTGCTAGAGCCTGGAAACTGGCTCGGTGTGCCCCAACAGAAGAAAGGATGAACTGTGCGTGTTAAGTGACTATGGTAGAGCCTCACACAGTGGTAGAATAAAACATGGCCATTGGCAACACAGTGGATTAGTCTCAGCAACACTGAGTGAAAGAATGTAGGCACAGGCTGTGCACTGGGTGCTTTGGTTTTTATCACAAGTTTAAGAACGTGTGAAACGAATCCACAGTATCAGCAGTGAGAGATGGTGCTAGTTACCAAGAGCTGATGCATTGATAGATGGGAAAAAATGCATCATGTTTTGCATCAAAGATTTCTGTACTTTACACGTGCCTCGGTTTAAAGCAAGCTGTATTCCTGTATTCCAAAGCTGTATTCCAAGGAGTCCGTCTTGCCCTCCCAACCTCAAATATGGTCATGTTGTCCCAGCTCATTCCTTTCATGCAGCAGAGAGGCCTGGCAGCCTCTTGACAGCAGATAAAGGGAGGAAGGACTCATCCTGTATTAGTTACTTTCCCGTCACTGTGCTAAAACATCATGATCAGAGCAAATTACAGAACTGGCCTACGGTGCTAGAGGGAAAAGAGTGGTTGATGGTGGAGTGGGGGCAACAGGCAGCAGACATGGCAGCTGGAACAGAAACAGAGGGCTCACACCTTAAACTGCAAGCTGGAAGCAAAGAGCCCAGGTTTGGTGTGGCTAGAGGGACAGATGGCCAGCAGTTAAGGGCACTGGCTGATCTTCCAGAGGACGCCAGTTCAATATCCAGTGCCTACATGCGGCTCACAACCATTTGTAACGACTGTAGTTCCGTGGGATACCGCACTCTCTTCCAGCCTCTGCAAACACTGCATGCATGTGGTATATAGGCATATGTGCAGGCAAAACTCCCATACACATGCAATAATTAAAAGAAACCTCATTGGAACCCAGTGACAGATTTCCCCAGCAAGGCCATACCTGCCAAGCTTCTCCAAATAGCCCACCAGCTGGGCACTAAATGCTTGAGTCTGTAGGGGTGGCGTGGTGATAAGGACTGACCTTGAGTTCATATAAGAGGTTATTGAGTTAGGTCTGTTGCCTGTGACCTCTCATCCTTTGTATTTGCAGCTGTGTGAGGGAAGTGGGGGTTTTCATACAGAGGAAACCAAAGTGCTCAGGATTTCTGTGGTGCTACTCTGGGCCACACAGCTAGGAACATGCTGTCTCAGGAGGGGACAACCAAAGCAGGAAGCCACGGGGCATCTTGGGAGATGCAGACAGGGCCCGGTGCAGGACGGGTGGCTTTGAGAGTCTGCTGAAATGGTTAGCCCTCCAGGATGTTGCCTTCCATCAGATAGCTGTGTCATGTGAATTGTGTGCATGACAGTCCCCAAAGCAGATTCGAGGCAGATGGATAAGGAAGAGAAAATACCTCAGAAGGCGACACTACCTCTAACAGGAGCGTGGGATGCTTCCCACATGCTGACCAAGTTTCTGAAAGCAGAAGTGGCATCTGGGCTCTGTCTGGTGTGCGACACTTCTGTCAACACTCATTTCCATGGCCTGGAAGTTCTGTCCTGCAGTCTGTGTTATGTCCTGGAGGCCGTGCTCTTAGTTGCATGGAGTATTGTGTCTCTGGCTGTCACGGTGGGAGTCTCAGACATATTCCAAAGGGGACTGGGTACTTGGCAGTCACTGTCTCTGCCACTGGTGCTGAGTCACATATGAATGACTCTTACCTTTCACTTGATGACAGCGGCCTAGAGCAGAGCGCAGGAGTGAAGTGTCCCTGCTTGAAGTCTGTATTATTAGCTTTCTGTTGTTGAGACAAACTGCTTGAGGTAACTAACTTAAGGAACCAGTTATCTTGGCTTAGGGTTTCAGCCTGTGGGTTGGTTGACTCTGCTGTGTTTGGTCACAGTAAGAACACGTGGTAGAGGACTGTCTGTCTCATGGTGGCTGGGAAACAAAGGAAGGGGTCAGGGTCCCCTTTAAGGGAATGCCTACAATGGTCTGGGCCCCTCCCATAAACCCTGGCTCTCAAAGGTTCCATCATGTCTCAGTAGTGTCACAAACAAGTTCTAACCCATTGGCCTTTGGAAGATGGTCTAAATTCAAACCGTAGTAGTAACTGCATTTTGCTTGGGTTTCTTGGCATGGGAAAAAGGAAAGCTCTGAGGTGTAGTATAAGACAGGCTGATGGCTACTTCTTAAGAACCACCTGTCTAATGTTTTTTTTTTTTTTTTCAACTTAATGCCACAGTGGCAGGACGCTGGGTTTTCTCTGGGTTAGCCTGTTCGTTGAGCCCGTTTCCCATTTGTGTAGGGGAACAGGCAGGAAGTGTCCTTCTAAGGTGGCCATGACATCTAACCTCATGCTATATATTTAGCACTAGACAAAGGGGTCAGTCACTGACCTGTTCCATACAACTGGAGTGGAGGTAGGTGGATAAAGCCATTATCATGTTATTCTGGTGGTTGTTGTTCTGATGATAAAGAACACCCCACACAGGCTCTCAAAGAATGTGAAGGCTTGGGCATTTTATCTTACAGATTCATTGCACATGTGACCTGGGCCTGTTGGATTTGGGGTTCACTCTTCATCTCACCCTCTACTGTTTTGTTCTGCATCTACTCCTACCCCATCCAGTGTGCGGGGATCACTCAGCCACTTACACACTCCAGCTCAAGGCCTTGTCACCACAGTGACTTCTCCTTCGTGAGTGACTTCAGTGTCCCGTCTAGCTGCAGAGGCAGGTTTGGGCTGGGTTTATCTCGTGTGTGTCCTGGCTAGTTGTAAATGGCTCTGGGGTTTGGGATTTTACCTTTGCCTGTTGCTTTACTTGGTCTCTTCTAAAACCAGTCAGCATAATTCGGTCATGGACCAAGCCATACCAGCAGGCTCTTCTGGAGGAGAAGGGCTGTGCCCACTGATAGAATTAAAGCAGAGGAAGCAAATTGCACAGGACACACGGTGTTGCCTACACCATCTCTCCACGGACATAGCCAAAGCAGAACTCCCCCCTCCCATCCCTTCACAGTGTGACCCAGCTGCACTCTTCATCTGAGTGAGTGGTACTGCCATCCCTTGGCTCCAGGGGACACCCAAGTGGCTGTCCACTCCCCATAGGCAAAGGTCTCATCAACTCTCTCTACACATTCTGAGTCTAATCCTTTCAAACTCTCCACTGTTCCTGCATTTCTGCCTTGAATGGCTGCAGTGGCCTGCTAGATGGTGTTCTTCTGTAACCTCCTCTTTTAGCCCGTTGGTCACACAGCCACGATGGCCAGTCCAGCCACCCTGGTTTCCAAGGGCAGCCCTCACACTGGAGAACCAAGGTGCGGCTTGCGTACACCCTACGAGATGTCCCAAGATCCACTAGCTATCACCCCTCCCCTCAGTCCCGGCTGCTCTCTATGCCTGAACTCCCAGCCCATCTTGCTGCTTTTAGGTTTCTACTCAGACACTTTTGGGGGACACTACCCTGAACATCCCTTTTCCATGGTTACCTTACTCTGTTCCCTCCTTTTCTCCTTGGCTTTTCGTTTCCTCCCTTTGTCATTTGGTGTTTATTTATCTATGTGGTTCCTGTCCATCTTCACACTACTGTGTGAGTTTAATCTTAACCTCTGTGTATCCAGCGCATCTAAAATAGTGCCCGATATCACAGCAGGTTAACACAAGAAGTTTGCAGAATGAGGACACGACGCACCCCCAGTGCTGGCAACAGTCCCCTCGGGCCTCACTTGTCCTCCGTCTCCCCTTCGGTTCCTGAGACTCCCCTCCTTCCCACAACTCTGTCCTTTGCTGGTCACACAATAGGCCCTTCAGCCTCATAGACCAATAAAAGCTGACTAGAAGTCATTTCTTCACCCAAACTGCAAGCTCTCCAGCCTGCTGTGGGAATTCCCTCATGACAAAACAAGAGGAGCTGTTCCCTGCCTCTGCAACAGTGACCCTCCGCCTGTGTACCCCACGCTCTAATGCAGGGACCTTTATCCCGACTTTCCAGTCCCCCGTCCCCCGTTTGCTCCTTCCCACAGGCAAGCTTCACATACCATTTTCTAC